GGGGGCCCTGGCCTGGCGCTTTGCTCCGGCCGGGGGGAGGCTGGGTGTCCGGGCCGGGAATTCCCGTATGGAATAAGGTGCCCAGCGTATACATACATGGGTACATCTATACATACATTTACACACATAATATGTACACACAAATACACTGTACATACAGATACACGTGTGTGCACACACACATGTGAACACACGTATAAAATATCCATATATGTATGTATGGTTTTATATATTGCATGTAGATATATACACACATATGTAGGCCTTGCGGCAGGGTAAGCTCAGGGGAGAGCAGCTGCCCCCTCTCCAGCTGTCCCTGCCGAACAACCCTCTTCACTTCTGGCACAACAAGCAGCACCCAGCACATCTGAAACAACATACCCTGGGATGGGGAAAGGTATTCCTCTTCCAGCCTTGAGCCCAGGGACTGCGTGAGCTGGATATATATAGATTTGATGAGTTGAAGACAATCAGAAAATAGGAAATGGAACATTTGTGCTCAAGAAGAAAAACCCTGGGATGATGAACAGCTACCTTTTGTATTCATACTACTTAATGATTTCAGTTAGGCCTTTGAAACCTGTCATAAATATTGACTGCAGTCATATAAACTAAACAGAATAAGTAGTGGAAACGCGAGAAATGAAAATACAAAGTATTTCTGGAGCTGGAGCTGAGAAATGAACCCAGCATATTGTTCTTTTCCTATGAAAGCAGTGGATAGATTCTGCTAGAAGAATGCCTAGGCCCTTTGTCTTAGTGAATATGCAGAATAACAGTGATGAGGCCATCACAATAACATAACATTTTGTCTGCACAACATTCTCCAGCAGGACAAGCACAGTAGTCCCTACCTTTAAGTGCTGGACAGCAACTAGCATCCTTTTCGCTCCCTTGGTGTTGTCTGGATGGACTTTCTGTTGTAAAGCAAAAATGGGATGTGGTAAGATCTCATACCACCTGCAATGAGTTCTACAGCACTTTTGGAAAGATACAGGCTCTTATTCTCTCATAACAGCATCCAAACGAAAACCAGGTTATCAGATTGCCTTCACCCATATTGTCAGGCCATATGTCAGATAGTAGA